GGGGGGGCACTGAAGTGTATAGAGGGCACAGAGTGTACAGAGTGTACACAGAGCAGTACACAGGCATCATCGGTCGGTGCCAGGCCACGCCACGCCGCGCCACCCAAAGAGCGGAGGCGTCCGAAAATTGCATGTCACACAACCTGCAGACAGAGAGAGCGAGGTGCGGCTGGGGTGAAGTATAACGCGCGCCTGCAGCTCCCTTTTCTTTTTTCGCACGCGGTCCTTGCCGCCGGCGTGGCGAAGCACTCGGAGTAAAGGAACGCAGGCGACCGTGAACGTCCTTCCGTCATCAGAAATGCCCGGTCAAGCTGCGCGTTCGCGACTCAGGAGGGAAAAGGGGGGGGGGGGTCACCCCCACCCTTTCTGGTTGGCAGCCGCAGGCAGGCAGCCGGTGCCGGTACCGCAGGGCAACTCAACTCCGCGGAGTCCTCACGTGGCGACAACGTGGTGGTACCAACCACTGCGCAGCGCACTACACTCGACCGGACAGACCGGGTACCCCGACAGAAATAAGGACCGGTTCCGACGACGACGACGACTTCATTTCGATTAAAAAGCCGTGCGCCCCGATCTTCGCGACCAACATTTGTCAGAACAACTCCAAGGGAAGGACCTCACAACTCTTCTGTCGCCTACGGCACTATCTAAGGATTCAATTGTAGTCAACATTCGTCACGGGTAAAATTACTCGCCGCGTCCCCTTTCGATCGAACAGGGGTGTCCAAAAGACCCCGTATACTTTGTGTTGGTTTTACTGTACCGTGTCCACAGGTTGCCTCTACTCGCTATGTCACACAGAAATTGGCAGCATCGCAAAAAAATAGCTATCTAGCTCAAAAACAAAATGCAATCTAGCTAAAATATTAGTTAAGCCATATTGAGTTATTGGTTTAACTTTTTTTTTAGCTTTAGAAAGGATTTATGACTGCTTGTTCATAGCGAGCTGCTATACAGCTTATCTTTTATGTCCGTGTACGGTAGGCAAAGACCGCCCGCACGCCCGAGGAAACTTGGAGCACCCTGCACTTTCAATATCCGTCGATGCGCTTCTGCCGGGGCATAGAGGGAAAACCCTTGACGACGCACACAGTTCGACCGGTTCGGTTTGGAGCACAACTTCACCTCCACCTTCCCCCGCGGTGACCGCGGCGGTGACGCGGCGCGCGGAGCCACGCGACCCCCCGGGCTCTTATCAGGCGAGGCGGCGTGTGTGACGTCACCGCGACCGAAACGCATTGGCGCGAGAGAGACGACACACGCCGCGCCACCACGTGGTGGCGGACGTAGAGCGCCCCGCCACGCCGCGACGGTCGCCAAAGAGCGGCGTAGCCAGCCGACAGGGAAAGGAAACTAGAGCTGTTTGCAACAGAAAGGGTGACAGTACTTCTAGTGCGTGCAGACTAGAACTGTTTGTCTGGTGTCTTTCATCCAACAATTTTACAGCAGAAAACTTTCAGGTTCATTTTTATTCTGCTTAAAATGTTGAACTGTTGTATAAATGTTGAGCACTCTAATGCCCCTCTGTGCCCAACCTACCTGTGACTTTAGGGGGGGGGGGTAATCATGGGGCTCCTTACAGACTCGTTCAAGGATACTTTGGCGCAAGCGTTACGCCGGGAGAAATCAGCTGGGTATGATACAGATAAAACTACCCGCTCTACCTCCGGCTGTCCTCGCCCCCTTCTCTCGTCCTGGACGAGGTACTGGAGGCTCCTCCTACAGCACATCCTCCCGCGAGCCGCGCCACGGACCAACCATCTCTTTTGATTTGCATTCGCACGTGACATTTAATACACACTGTTCCAAAAAAAGAAAAATGAGAAGAAAAACCAACAAGGCAAGCCCCACAAAAAATGTAAAGCCGGTTTGCAACAAAACACGTACATCTCAGGCGGCAAATCAGAACATTACATTATAATCCATCGAGTCAACCGGGCCCACGACTGAGCACTGCCGCATCCTGCTACTCAGTTCTTTTATTTCCACACCCAGTCTTGGCCGTGGTCTTGGCTTTAAGAAAAAGATTTGAAATGCTAAAAAGATTCACCATTAAAAAAAAAATGCCAGGGATTTGAAAAATGCATCGCATTAAAAAAGGTTGTTTCGTAATCGTAAATCCTATATGCAGTCAAGGCCGGACGAAGGACCTCCACGTGATCCATTACGCAGGACCCACAGGACCCACACGTGTTCCACCCGGCCAGACGGACTAAACGCATTACACGTGAGGACACCGTCGCTACGCACCGATATCACCACCATCATCACGATTTCCCGGACGAGTTGTGAAACGTGAAACAGAACCAGCCTAGACGCCCCCCCCCCCCTCCTAACAGACACACGTCATTTATTTTAAAAGGCCTCTGGTTTAGTTTAGTACTTTCACTTTTTTCAGTGACAGCCGCTATGATAGAGTTTTAAAGTAGGTTTAAAGAAAAAATTGATACGTCGGATTTGATGGGGAAAAAATGTAAGTAAATAAATGAACTGTGGGGGCATATTAACTATCAACGTGATATTTGAACCCGCTCTAGATCATCCGAGTGCAGCCGGACCAGCTCATCCGCTGCAGCGCACGGGCGCAGAGGCTGGCGGCGTATCAGAAAGAAAAATACGAAAGTACAAAAGTTGAGTCCCTCACCAACCACACGTTTTACTTCAAACAGTGGGGCAAAAATAGTTCCTGGAGTCGGGCGTCGGCAGCATAGCCCATTTGTCGTTGAAGGGAATAAGAAGGTAGGGAGGGAAGTAGGGGTGGGGAGACGCACAGACATCTCTGAGGATCAGAGAAGTCAGGGAGAAAAGGGAAAAGAACCACATGCGCACACACAAGAAACGGTCGTGGTCTGTTGAACTAGCCAGGTAGAAGGGCAATCGGGCCGCCAACCCTTACCCACCCAGGGTAACCGGCACACCGCTCAGATGATAACAATTGCCCCCCCCCCCTCTCCCCTTACGCAGGCGCGACGTTTTCTGACGATAACGTAAGGGGCAGGAACAGGGCACGTACACAAATTTCGTTAAAAAGGGCTACGAAAGTCCATACGCGAAGAAAGGGATCCATAATCTACGAAACTTTTATCAGGCTCCTCGTCCCTCGAGGAAACACGCCAAACTTCTACCTCCCACCCTTTCCCTGATACTACACGCCATCGTAGACATTCATTTGACCCATGAGCTAAAACCACAACCCATCGCCACCGTTTTAGTTAAAAGTAGGGCTCGTCGAAGACCACTCACCTTCATCCTCCGACAGGTCGCTGAATTTTATACCGCCACTGTGAACAAGAAATAAGCAGGCTAATGAGTTCCCGATGCAGAGACGTCGCGAGAGAGGACAGATATGACTCTCTTTCAAAAGGCATACTACTCTAGAGTCCCTGTACTTTGGGGCTTCCCTACAAGGTGTACACAAACGTAAGCAGGTATAAAATACTAATCTGTCACTTCAAAGACTTGCAAAGCACACCCTCTACTTAATGAAAAGAAAGGTAAGGGCAGATGGCCACGAGATGTGAACGAAAGATCTAGAGCCGGATCGCACGTCACGTTAAGATTCATTATTACTAACAGTTGCTACAAATTCCTCAAATTAAATTTCGTTAAAAAAAAAAAAAAAAAAAAAGACGCGCGTGCACGAAACATAAAGAAATGGAGAGAGATGACATAAATTGAAGGGGTGCATATAGGTAGTAATTCTTTACCGATGGAAAATTTGTGGTTTAACAGCACTTTGCGTGCACACAGTTGTTTTTAGGAAACAAATAAAAAAAAATAAAGAGAAAGGACAAGAACGTGATTGAGGTATAGGTACCTTAGCAGGACCGTGGCAGTCTCCGGGACGCGAAACACCTGCAAAACAACAACACCAGTCCACACTCTGAACAGCACTAGGCATTACCGGCTAATCACACTAGGAAAACTGACTATCACCCTACAAGAAATCTATCCTACATCTGTCTGAGGGGGTTCAAAGACCGGCTGGCCGGCCCGGGCTTCTAGAGTGGGAGTGGGGGGTGACTTCAGCACGGCCACCCGCGCCTGTGCCAGCCAGCCGGTCTGCTTCATCTGTTGAATTTATAGGACCGGGCAAGAGCGGGGTACCAGAGGGTACCGGGTGCACTCAGCTTCCCCAATCCCAATCCTGCCGTTTATTTCCGGGTCCTCGCTGCCACGGCTATAAGATTCCAAGACGCATTATGCGCAGCCAAGTGGAGAAAAATTTAAATTAACAGAAAATTGATTTTGTGATGTCTAGTTGACATCATCACTCTAGCGCTACTTCCACCAGTTTGATAGTTTTGATAGCTACATCTTTCCCACCTACTTTTCTTACATTAACGAGCCATTCTTTCGCATACTAACAATAACAATAAATTGAGTAAAAATTACACAGCCTACAATTGAGAAGCTTAGTAAAACTAGGCATACAAAAGTGAAACATGTACAATAGAAAAATAGTAACATCCTTACTTATAATAATTGATAGTATTCAATGTAAGTAGTAAACAATGAAAATGTCTCACCTTCCATCCCAGGTTTTCAAAAAAGGTGCACAAACGTGACTGCCCAGTTGTTTTTCCTCCACAAGGACCTAAAAGAGAAATTAGGAGTTAGTGCTTGACCGAATTTTTCATGTTAACGATTCCATACAATAATCAAACAGGAAGTAACACGATTGTTCATTGAAAGAAAGTAATTTTTGGACAACTAATAAACATGAAATCAGATTTAGTCAGTAATAGGTGACTGTGATACACACACTGCTATCAATAAGACTAAAATATATAAACACTTCATTCAAGACATAAGAGGATATAATTCAAGAATTTAATAAAACAACACAAATTTCTTTTCTAGACTTTTTAAAAGATGGGAAACATGTCGACGTTTAAATTTGAAAAATAGTTGTTGCTTTTAAAAGCTGAACTGTACAAATGGTCAGTCAAAATAAAATTTACTCACCGCCAGTCAGTACAATTTTATAAGCTCTTTTCTCCTTGGTTTCCATGGTTGTCACGCTGATCAGAATTTAACGTAGTTTAGGATATATTCGGAGAATGCATTAACCATACTTTGGTTTTCTTCTATATCAGCAAATGAACCCCGATGCCCACAAACGAACAGTGTTAACGATGAGTAGACTTCTCTGTCAGAGGTTGTGAGTACGCCTGACCGCGAGGATGAGGTACCTCAGCCATTCGGCAACCCCAACCTGTCTGAGCTGGAGACTGGCTTCCAACTGAGCTGAAAAAATAACCACCGTGATCCGAGCCCGACTGAGGACAGGCGTGTACCTCTTCCCTCTCCTCCCTTCCCCTCTTCCCTTTAGCACACCTCTCACCCCTTCCCTTACTTCACCCTCGTCTCTGTGGATAAGTGTTCTTCCGCTTATCTACAGCTACAAGCTTTTTCCACACGAAAATAAATGAGTGAAAAATCACTATGATTCGTTGACAGAGTGGGAAAACATTAAACTCATTAATATTCCTGTCAGTGCAAGATAAGAATAATAGCATGTCTGAAAAGTTTCACCGCGAAATTTGACAAAGCTTAGAGGATTTTTAGTTGTATGTTGACCATCCTGCGAGATGATATGAGAATTTCTTGATGACTGTGTTATTGTGGTTATGATCTGACATGTGACAAGTTTAGGTTAATGTGTTATTTCATATTTTATTTTAGCAATAGACGAAATAGAAATCTGTCACCATGGGGAAGCCAGTCAAATGTAAGTAGAACAGCGGATTCTATAAGTGAGTTGCATGTGAGTGCCTTTTGTTCGATACCAATCTGATGAAGATGAGTTCAACAGCAATTGTAGGAGGCCATAGTGCTGAATGATTATGTGACATAAGCTTCTTAATATTTATTTTTACTTTGGTTAGAATTGTTTTCTTTTCTCGGACTCGTTGTTTATTCGTAGGGTTTCATGAATATTTTTTTTATTGGAGCTTTTGCTGTAAGTGATAAAGTTGCATCCCAATCTACATGCCCACTTCTGTTTCTAGATGCCGAGCTTTCCAAACAGGAGCGCATGGTCAGGACTGTGGCTGAAATTATCCAGGAGCTGCAACGTGCTCACCAAGAATCACGTGATGTTGACCTAAATCGTTTGAAAACAAGAATTGCATCTAAGTATGGTTTAGAAAGTAGCCCAAGGCTGGTTGATATCATTGCAGCTGTACCTACAGAGAGCAAAAAAGCACTACTTCCGAAGCTACGTGCTAAACCTATACGCACAGCTAGTGGAGTAAGTATCTAATTCAGGGTATGGTGCTCTTGCTTTCAAAAGTATTTCTTTGTTGTTAATAACTAAGCTAATGTTCTTACGGTGCTCATTTACATTAAAATTATCTTTTCTTGATGTGATTGTCCACAGCAAGGAAGAAATTATTATGTTTTGGTTCTTGTGTTTATTTAAGAGGTGCAGTTTGGTCCGAAAGTGCATGTTATGGTCAGTGTCTTATAATCATGACAGAATTTCAGTTATAATTCTATCAGTTTATGAGAAACACTAGCAAAAAAGGATAAATGGTGGTCTGATTGTCTGCGCTGGTGGTTGTCAGATTTGTTTCTTGTAATACAATTACCTAAATATTGTAAACATTTTTTTCTTTCTCTTGGAATCTAGACAGTTTGTTTTGTGTAAACTGAGCCAAAATTTTGCTATATTCCTGGAGAGTGAGCACGTCTGTTTAGTTCTGCCTTTAAATAGACTATTTCATAGCATCTTGCAGTGTGGATATTCATTAGCTTTTTAAATTTTGTTTAGATTGCAGTAGTTGCTGTAATGTGCAAACCACATAGATGTCCGCACATCAATATGACTGGAAACATCTGTGTGTACTGTCCAGGAGGTCCAGATTCTGACTTTGAATACTCAACTCAATCTTACACAGGATACGAACCAACATCCATGCGGGCTATTAGAGCACGCTACAACCCATATCTTCAAACAAGACACCGTGTTGAACAGGTTTGCTGTCTTATTTTATCCACAATGAAGGAGAGCTGTTTTGTTGAAACTTAATTACCTTTCTTTTCTATCTTATCTTTTTCTTGCAGCTAAAGCAGTTGGGCCACAGTGTTGACAAAGTAGAATTCATTGTAATGGGTGGAACCTTTATGTGTTTGTCCAAAGAATACAGGGATTATTTCATAAGAAATTTGCATGATGCTCTTTCAGGGCATACAAGTAATAATGTAGATGAGGCAGTCAAGTATGTAATTTTATGTCCACTTCCCTGCATTAAAGTTCTGTAAATATCTTTGTTTCACACAATATCTCCTAATTCAGGTACTCAGAGAAAAGTAGAGTGAAATGCATAGGAATAACAATTGAGACTAGACCCGATTATTGCCTGAAGCCTCATCTCTCAGACATGCTGCGGTATGGATGCACTCGTTTAGAAATCGGTGTGCAATCTGTTTATGAGGATGTTGCAAGAGATACAAACCGAGGTCACACAGTTCGCGCTGTCACTGAAAGTTTTTCCTTAGCTAAAGATGCTGGATTTAAAGTGGTTGTTCACATGATGCCAGACCTTCCAAATGTTGATTTAGAAAGAGATGTTGAGCAGTTTACTGTAAGTATTGAGCAACTGATGAGTTGAGCAACTGTTGACTTTAACATTCTGAACTAAGCTTTTTTTTTAAACATAATGCAGGAGTTCTTTGAAAATCCAGCTTTTCGAGCTGATGGTTTGAAAATTTATCCAACTCTTGTCATTCGGGGAACTGGTCTCTATGAGCTTTGGAAAACTGGACGATACAAGAGCTATCCTCCAGGAACTCTTGTTGACCTCATCGCCCGGATTTTAGCTTTAGTGCCACCATGGACTCGTGTCTATAGAGTTCAGAGGGATATCCCCATGCCACTTGTCAGGTAAGAAAGTCCTCAATAATTTAAATGACCTTTCTTTATTTAAAAGTTCAAAATAACATCCTTCATAAAATAGTCTTAAAATAATATCATAAAATTTTAATTTGATTAAAATATTCTCTTGAAATTGCTTTGAAATAATTAACAATTTATAAAAATTGGACAGTGAAAACTAAGTTTTACCTCTCCATTGATTAATTGCCTGTGCCAATCTAGCATCCATTGTTGACTTTAAGTCAAGCAGGGCCTGACATTGTTGTTCATCCTGGTCACACTGAAACAGATGTTACAGATTATAAAGGTTAAAAGCAGGATGTTGTTGGCCCCATAATTGCACGGTTTAGACTGGCTCTGATTGTCATTTATTGCATCTGTTCTGGTGGGTTTTCGAGGCCTCTGATTGGCTGATTTTCAACTAGAAGGTATCCAATAAATGACAATCGGAGCCAGTCTAAACTGTGCAATGAAGCTAAGGCTCGGTTATTTGAAATTGTGTATCACTTACCCATTCAACATTAATTCCTTCTGCAGCAATAAAGAGTTTATGTAGATCATACATACGGGCAAATGGACTGTGTGTAGTCCATCGGTCAGGGTGATCACAAGCTAATTTTTCACATCTACATTTACTAACATTTGGATAAGTCTCCAAAAATCTCTCTCCAATGCACAAATTTTTCATATTTGAAATTAACTTCCTACCGCTCTTACTGGCAACGATAGTAACTTTCAAACAATCTATGGAGAATGGAGAATAAAGTTAATATCTGTCTCTAAAATAAGTTTCATAGCAACTGAAAGGTTTTGAAACTACTCACTTCGTGCTGAGTGTCGGATAGCTTGAATAGCCTTTAATGCTGCCATTACTAAAGCTTCTGTTTTAAGATATTCTTTGTGTTTCAAATCTTGAATATTTTCCATGTTTAAGTCTGTGAAGAAAGGAGGAATTTGAGGCATAACTTTCCTGAAAATAAGATAAATTTAGATTAATTTTTTAAATTACTTTGAGAATGCACTTTATAATCTCTAATTTAATCCAGAGATGAGTATCTTACCCATTTTGACCTTCATAGGTGTAACCTGAAATTGCCACATAGTGTAAATGCTTTCTAATTTTTCTCCCAGTGCCAGCAATGTAAACCACACAATTTTCACCAACTCTTATATGGTTTGGTGTTCCTACTTCTTCCACAACACTTGTGTCTTCACTTTCCACTTCTCTTTTGATTCGTATGTGTGTGATGAACTCTGGTGGTAGTTCACTTAGCAGATAATTTGATGTCATCTTTTGTGGGACACTGTTCACTTGCTTAGTAGTTAGCTCCCCCGAAGCTCTCAGTGAACTTGACAAAGAGGATCCAGGTTGATGGTTCACACTGATAGGAACATGTGTGGAGCTTGAAGTCGAGGGTGCTGAATGCCTATGATGGACAGTAGAATTGTTGGTTTGCTTATTTAAGTTGTTGTTTGAAATATGCGGTGGTCGCTCACCCGCTTTTCTCTGTGGGGTACTACTAAGGATATTGCTTGCAGCAGATGGCAGAGGAAGATGATCAGAGCGCCTCTGCATTGGAGTTTGCATGTCTTGTGAAGCAACCTTCCTCGCAACTTGTACAATTTCAATAGATGTATTCTGTACTCTTGAAGAGTTGCTTGAGTTTGTTTGCGGGCTGCAAATTGTTGATGAACTTGCTACACTCAATTTTTGATGTTGTTTTTGGCTGACAAGGGAACCAGAACTACCAGAAACATTTGTAGGAATAGGAGTATTTGGTGTACTTGCAGAAGTGCTGGAGATAGTTCGATTCATTATGGTAGGTTGCACATTTAGTCCATTAGTGCACTGTTTAGAGTTCTGGGGCTTAGCAGTATTAAGGGATAAAGCATGAGTAGATTTCACATTTGATTCATTTGATGGAGTTGTGATTGCCTGCCCATTTGAAGATGGCTGAAGGCTGCGTGATTCCTCATCATTAGATTGGATATTATTCAAAGGAGGAGAGTACAATGTGCTATGCAAAGAGTTTCTGTTCATAGATTTTTTGGATGGATCTTCAAAAAGGAATGCTGCTCTTACATTGCCTAATACCTGCTCCATATTTTGAACTCTTTCCTCAACTTGAATTAATCTTCCTGCTAACTCATTAAACTCCCGTCTTGTTACATACTGTTCCTTATGGAGTACTTTGTTGGAGACCTGCACTTCCTCAAGTCTCTGAAGTCTTCTGTGTATTTTATCCCATTCCCTGCTGCTAATATTTGTGTCATCACTTTGACTGGCACTGGGAGGTAAAGGCTCATGACGTAATTTCTTTGGGGTTGGACTAGTGTCAATGACATGTACTACATCCTTCCTCTTTCTGGGATGAACTTCGTTATCTTCCTCTTGAGAACAAGTGAGATCGATTTCTTCTGCAGCCATATTTAATCTGAAATTGAGACGATAGAGTATTGAATAGATACATACCTATCTATGACACTCAAGCTCTTACCCAGAGCAATGAAATATCAGACCAAATGAAATCAAAATCAAACGTCAGTTATTTCACATCAGATCATAAGTACAATATATAGGCCTAAGGTCCTTAAATAGACATAATCTAATGTCGTTCTGATATTTCATTGCTCTCTGAGTAATACAGTGTAAATTATACAGTGCAATTGAAAAATTCAATGCAATAAAGAAGGAAATAACTAATTTGGCATTTGTCCAGTTACACTTTGATTATGATTTATTTAACTATTTAACTGATTCAGAATTAATAAACAATTAAACTGATTTAGAAACAACCATAACCTAAAAACTGTCGATTTCCCACTTCAAATTTAAATGCATGTATGCGTTTTAAAAGTTGCTGTACTCATTAACTGGAAGCTAGGGGTGTCAATTTAGAGAGCGCTTAAAATATTATGCCTGTACCGTGCAAGTTCGTTCCGAAATAGTCTAACCGCCAATCCATAAACAAACTCTAAGATCTAAAGACTTACGTTAGATTTGCTTTCTTTGCATTGGTCGTTCTGCCTGCCTGTGTTCGTCTCCTTTACGTTATGATGTGAAATTATGATCACAATTTAAATTTTGAAGAGAGTAAGAATAAACACATCTAGTCTTCCCTAATGCGCCATTGTTTCGCACGTCGTGAACTGAACGTCGGTCGGAGCGAGCGGCGCTACCGCCACCTGTGGGAGGGGAGGGAG